CTAAGGAGTAGACGTGCATCTGCCCGAGAGAAGCACAGGGTTAGATTTCGATCGTATTCCGTGACCCCACCAGCAAAATCCCCAATTTCCACCTGTACAGATGTTTCCATCTGACTAGCCCAAGCCATCTGCATCGCCCTGAGCCTCTGCTGCCTCCTACTCTAGAGGGTAGAAAGCCAGAGCTCTCTTCCCCTTTCTGCGGCCTCACCAGCACTCATCTTCGTAGAAGCAACAGTGATGCCCAATTTCAGCAAAAGACATGAGGGAAGTTGGTTAGGGGCTTCTGACAAGAGGAATACATGGCAGGTCCCATGCTTTCCCCTTTGTTCTGTTCTTGAATACTGATTTAATACATGGAGTCATAGCAGCCATTTTGTGGCCGTGAGGCAAAGAGCATGGGGATAAGAAACCTACAGCAAAGGAGGGCAAATGGAATTATATATCCGGGTCCTTAATGACATTACTGAGCGGCTGGCCAATCCTTAGACTTATTAAATAACGAATAACCACACCTGTGGCTCTGGCCACTGTCTTTTAGACTTTCTGTCTCTTGTAACTCTCTGTACATTACGGGTCAGCCTGATTAAAAAGCATAGCATTTTCTCAGAAAGCAACATGGCGTGATGGGAAGGGCCTTGTCTGACTTCTCCGAGTCTCAGTTTCCACATCTTCATAGTGAGTAGCCGGCCCAAACACCCATTAGGAGTAAAAAGCACCTGGAGAAGTAACACTTACTGTTTCCTTGTTTCCAACTTACCAGAGGGCACATGGGCTCACCAGGGAGACAAGGAGGGAGGGAGAGGGCAAGCGCACTCCCAGTGTGTGTGTGGTCATGTCTTAGTCCCTTCCCCATTTCTCTACCCTGTCAGGACTCGGGGCACCCACGCAAATGAGTCTGGTGTGGCCTTTTCTTTCCTTTTTCTAATTTACCAGAGGGTATGTGTGCTCACCAGAGAGAGAGAGAAGGTGAGAAGGCACCTCCCGTGGGGGACGACCATGTCACAATCCCTTCTCCATTCTCCCCCTCAGGATTTTGGACACACACACGTGCGCACGCTTGCACACACACGTACTCAGCATGTTTCTCGCACTGCTGGGTCTGGGATGCGAACAGCACAGACCCTTGGGAATCTAGTTCCCTTAACCACCAGGCCATGGGTCTGGGGTGCTATTAGTGAATATACAGTATTTACATAATGCCGAGCCTTGTTCTAAGTCTTTCTTTACTTTCATTTTTTTTTTTTTTTTCAAATAAGATCACCATCTTCCTGCCTCAGACTCCTGAGTAGCCGGGACCACAGGTGTGTACCACCACATCTGAGTTTTGGTTTGTTTTGGTTGGTTGTGTTTTGTTTTGTTTTGTTTTGTTTCCTTTTGGAGAGGTTTTTTTTTTATAGTTCATGTGCACTCACCAGAAAGACAGAGAGACACAAAGCAAGAAATCACCCCCCAGGGGGGATAGCCACGCCGCAATCGCTTCTCCTCCATTTTCCTCTTGGGATCTTGGGCACACACGCACATGCACCCGATGCGGAGTGAGTTTAAGCTGCCAGGTCCGGGACTCGAACCACGATAGACCACATGGGAGTCCAACCATATAGACTCTGGTCCCCCACATCCAAGTTTTAAGGTAGCAAACCCGGGCCAGCTGCTCTCACCCTTGTCTGAAACTGTACCCCTCAGGCAGCCCTCCACTCTAGACACACACAGGGACGTTCACAAGGTGTCACACCCCCATTCCCAGAGCACGGGCCCTCGGAGCAGGGGCTGAGCGGCATACTAAGCTGCCAGGAGTACCAGCCACATGGAACTTCCCTGGACCAAGGGCCTGTCTAAAGTGTCCTGGGCAAGGCCTCGTCCACTGTGCTGACAGGCTTAGCCCAAATCCTACATCCAGCCCACACGTAGACACCGTGTGTAGCAGGGAAGTGGGAGGGTCTGGCAGGCCACTCCTGGCTCAGTGAGAAAGAGGGCCATGATCCATCGGCAGAGTCCACCATGATCCTGGCATGGGCGGCCCCACAGATGACAGGAGGGGCCACACCTTCCACACCTTCCACCCCCACTTGGTACTAAGCCTCCATGCCACCAGGGCGATGTCCATGCACCAGGCAGAGCCGGTTATTGGCCTGCCCCACCCAGGGTGGGACCCAGCGCTGAGAGGGGTCCGAGCACAGTCTGTCCTGGGACCCCTCTCCTAATCGCCTGACTCAGCTCCCATGGACTGTGCCACGTCAGATGAAGAGAGGAGCCTGATGTGCACAGAGAGACAGTGTTCTGTGGAGCGAGTGTCGGGGATGCCACAGGAGTCCAGGTGACCGGGGAACCCTGCCTCCTGACCTGCCAGACGGTGGAGGCTGGGAGCTTTGGGCCTCTTCACATACCCTCCACGCGCTATGTGCGTTCGACCTAGAGAGTTAAGGTGCAGCAAAACTTGCTATTGGTTCATGTAGACCTCAGTGCCTCCCCACACGGCCCTCTCCCAGCTCGGACTCACCCTGGTGTCCTGGCTTGGACGTGGAGCAGCACACCTATCTGGTCTTAGGTGGGCCTATTCCTTCAACCTTACAACTCTCGGAGCCTCACACCTCTGCATGGAGACAAGCATGGAGACAAGCTTTTCTCCAGCTCGAGGGCGCTCTGGGTGGAGGAGTGACCGAACCTTCACCAGGCACTCGTGGAGGCCGAGCTGCAGCCAGGAGGATGGTGCCTTTCCCTCACCAGTGAGCACTGGGCAGGACAGGGAAGGACCCAGGAGCACACAAGAGCGGCCCTAGCTCAGATCCTTTAGGAAGTGGAGCCTGAGGCAAAGGTTCAGTGCTCACATTTCATTCAGGAGCCGTAAGCCCAGGGAAATGAGAACGAGGAAAAAGGGTAAGGGAGGCAGGGACAGATGTCACGTGTGGGTCACTGTGGTAGCCCCCTTGCAGCAAGCCACAGAGCACAGACTGGCTTCCTGGCACTCAGGACCTCTCTGGAAGGCTTGCAAGGGTTACACATTTCAGTCATCTGTGAGAAGAGTGAGGAGGAAGAATCTATCTTCTCAGTTCTCTCCCAGTGCTCGCCACTGGTTAGCGTTCACCTGTCAGAAAGGAGCTCCCCGGCGTCCTGGGGTTGCACTGGCCTGTCTTCTCAGCACTTGCTCAGAAAGCCAGGTCCCAGGGCTCAGAACGTGGCATCTTCTGAGTTCGGAGCAGAGCAGGCCACTTGGTGTAGACAGAGATCTGACCCGGAGACCCAAACAGGGACTCTGAGACACTCAACTCTGCATCCACTCCAGGGTGCAGCAGTTTCCCCCGAGATCCTGGCAGTCAGAAGAGGGTGTGCGGGCCTGGAGATTCACAGTGAGTGCCAATGGGTGACCAAGCCAGGGCTACTGTCACGGGGACCCACACGCTTTCTCTGCTGTAATCCGACTTGCAGACGCATGAACCTGACGATCCAAGCCGGAAGCCACATAGGCCCCATGCTCAGCTTCTCTGAGCCCGAAAGAAAAGCAACCCCAGTTCCAGCATGTCTCCTAAGACTGGCCTTCCCGGAACTGTGCTTGTCCATGAGTGGGTGAGGAGGACAGAATAGAACTCCCTGATTAACCACCACGTGCACAGCTCCACGCTGGGTATTGACTTTATATCGGTTTCTCCTTTGCATTTCCACTTTTTGAAATAAAAATGCTTATGGGAACTTTTTGTTATTCAGAAGCAAAGAATATTCACGAAACAAAAATCTCCGCTGATGTTGCCATCAGAAACCATCAATGCACACACCTTGGTGGGGGTGTTTCCAGAACTTTCCATCTTAGTGCATGAATTCCTAAAACTCTCCCTGTTTGCTAAATCACATTGTACAAGCAGATATTGAATTTCTTTTTAAGTCATTAAATAAGTTCTATAGGCTCATTTTGTTTTGGTTTTTTGCTTTTGCTATAGGTCACACACACTCACCAGAGAGAGACAGAGACAGAGAGAAGGAAAGTGAGAAATCGTCCTCAGAGGGGGATGGCCACGCTGCAATCCCTTCTCCTCCATTCTCCTCTTGGAGTTTTGAACACCTGTGCACACATGTCCAGCATGATTTTTCAAGCTGCTGGATCCAGGACTCGAACAGTGAAGTCACTTATGTGAGATCTAGCACCTTAACCACCACACCACCTGCTGGCCCCAGCTTCATTTTTTAAAAGTTTCTTTATTTCTTCTTTCCTTCCCTCCTTTGTTTCTAGAGGCATCTCGACGTGGTCTTTATGCCGTGATCCACCCCAGATGAAGCAGCTTGGATCATGGTACGCACATGCCCAGTCCGTACAGGGAGACCCCAGACGTGAACCGAGACCTTCGCACGTGGAGCCAGTTATGCATCCCTCACCACCGTTGAATGCTAGCTTGTCGGGAGTCGCTTATCTCCAGCCCATCACTAACGCTGACAGCCTGAGGGGCACCGCACAGCCCCACCCCCTTTGCCCGGCCGGCCGGGGGTAAAGTCCCCGTGGCGGACTGGCTGGGTCATTCCTTAGGTTTTGCTATTTGCTACGAGCTGCCAGACCATTGCCTCACAGCTTTTTTCAGTACTTCTCTTTGAATATTGATAACAGGCTGATTGATTAAATCCCATTAACGCCACTTGACAGGTGTGGAAATCGGAGCTCAGAGAGGCTGAGTTGCTCTTTCCCAAGAGCCAGTAAGCTGCTGAAGGACAGCTGGAGACACATTCTTTCCGCCCGCTGTGCCTCAGTGCTGGGAACCGGGCCACTTGGGGCGGAGCTGGGAGCTGGGGATGCTCCAGGGATGGGACAGGACTTACCCAGGGGCAGGACGGGGCCCTGTAGAGACACCACATGCCTTACCTGGGCCACGTCAGGCTTCTCAGCGTCACTCTGTCCCTGCAGCAATTCCGGGGCCTTGAAAGGAGCAGCCTCTATGTGGGAAACGTGGTCTTGGAAAGAAAGGCTTCCGGCCGCAGAAAGCAGGGCTGACCAGGGGCAGACCACGTAGTCCGAGGAATCTGAAACCAGGGCAGTGAGCGGGGCAGAGGCCCTCCACTGTTCCTGGGGTCAGGGGTGTGTGCAAGGCCCTACACACGTGCCCAGGACGCAAGGTCCCTCAGCTACCTCAAGGCTTAGCCTGGACGCGCGGTCACCTTCTCATGACCCTGTCCCCACAGGTGGGCTCCAGCCCTCCTGCCCACCTATACCCCCAAGTGTCACCCCAACTCCTCACTTCCTGCAATGCACACCCCCTAGCCACTGGTGACAACTGCCTGGGCGTGACTGCAGACCACCTCCACTGGGTAAGCAGAGCACTGAGATTTCCTCATGGCTGCAGACACGTCTACAGGTCTGCGCCCCAACCTGCCGCGGGCTCCTCCCTTCAAAGTGTGCCCTCCCTGGGCCCTGCGTGCAGCCCTGGTGTGTTCCCATACCTTCCAGTTCCTTTCCTATCTCAGCCTGGCAAGGCTGCCCCACCCTCCCGTTTGGATCACGGTGCAGTCTGCCTCCTGATGAGGCCCAGGCTGGCGCAGCATCTGGCAGGCCGTGAAGGGGTGTCCCAGTGGCTCCCCAGCAGCTCCCCCATCTCCTGCCACTGGTTGTGCCCAGACAGCCCAGGTGACAGCAGAGCCCAGGGCTTGGGAGAGCCCGGGGATGGCAGAGCCCAGGGAGCCACAGCCTCTCCCTATGCACCAGCCTGGTGCTGCAATGCCAAGGCAGATGCCAGACTCTCCTTAACTCTGCCACATGGCACGAGTCTAAAAGCCAGGCCTGCCTCCCCGCACACTCCACAGGAGGCTCCCATTCCCGCTTATTCCGATACCTCGGGTTAATCACAGATGGAAACCAGCAGCCAGAAATGTTCCTGTGTGGGAAGCGTCACGTTTCACTCCCTGCGACTCGACTGCCCCAGACACACACTCTTACCATTGCGAAGGTCTTCCAGCAGCCGCTCCGCAGCCAGGGACAACAGGGACCAGATTTCCTCCTCAGACAGAGCTTCGCCCCTGACCTGCAGGACGCTGGCCAGCGTCACGGAGTCTGGGCCCATGCCTGTGAAGACACAGGTGTGGCAGAGCCTCCGCAGTGTCCAGGGGCATCCGGGCCAGCACTTGCCACTGCCCAGCACAGCCCAGCCACTCTGCAGTACGTGGGTGCAGTATTTTCATCATGGACACCCTGCTCAGCGCCAGGCACACAGAAAAGGTCGAAGAAATGTGTCCTGGGGCGGGAGAGGGGTCTCTGGGCTGGCTGCTTGGTCCTCAGTGAATGAGCAAATAGATAAACTCCCAATGGAAGAGGCAATGAATAAGCAAAGGGATGAACCCACGGAGCCAAGCAGGGCCTCCTCCCTGCGCGGCGTTCGCGCTGCCCCTGCCCTGCCTGGGAACAGAGACGGGTGGACCGCCTCCCCCATCCAGCACAGGAGTCCCGTCTTTCCTCCCGGCTGCCACCGCGGAGCTGGATCTCAGGCCAACACCCACCCCTTCACCAGCGCCAACCTGAAGAGCAAGTGAGACTCCCTAGAAGGAAGTGAGCTCCCAGTCTGGGGAGGGGGCAGCCCAGAGGCCAGACGAGTAGGGAGCAGGGGTGGTCTTCACCCTTCCCTTCTGAGGCACAATCCTTTAAACCAAAGCTGACATTTCAATGTCTATGCCCCTGACCAAGTGGCCACTGACTTAGCCCCAGAGCCCAGGTGCCTGGTGGCAGCAGAAGGGAGCCAGCCAGGCTCTTCCTAATCCATTTAAGTCCCCAGTCTCTCTCCAGCCCGCGCTCTCCAGGGCAGGGCGGCGGTGCTGTGTTGGCGGGTGGGAAGCACCCTCATCCCTCAGGCGGGGCCGTGCTAATCCAAGCTGCTGCCAGCTGCCCTGCTCCCTTAGACACCTCTAATCCCAGGCTCCTGCAGCCTCAGGGAGGCAAGGCCCAGGAGAAAGAGCTAGCTCTCAGGGCTCCCCCCAGGGGTGGGAGGGGAGCTGCTGCAGGACCTCCTTAAGAAGGTTCAGTGTGAGGGGACCAGCAGATGGCATAATGGTCACGTTGCTGGACTCCTGCTCCTCTCCTTCCTTCTTTCCTTCGCTTTCTTTCCCTCTCTTCTTTCCTTCTTCCCTCCTTCCTTCTTCCCTTCCCTCCTTCCTTCTTCCTTCTTCTTTCCCTCCTCCCTTCTTCCCTCCCTTCCTTCCTTCTTCCCATCCTTTATTCTTCCCTTCCTTCCTTCCTTCTTTTTTCCTTCCTGCTTTCCTTCCTCCCTCCCTTCCTCCTCTCCCTCCTTCCTTCCTTTCTTTTCCTTCTCCCCTTTCCTTTCCATGCCTTTCCTCCCTCCTTTTCTCTTTTCTTTTCTCTCTTTTCTTTCTCCTCCATCTCTTTGTGAACTTTCTTTGAGAGTCT